AGCACTTTGCTTCGCGTGCAGCCGCATGCATGCAGCTCCAAAAGTCATGCATCTTCGTTTTTAAATGCTGCTTTGCCGCTGTGGATGCACAAATGCTGCTGCGCATGCATGCCGCTGCGCATGCTGCAGGACATGCATGCTGCAGCCCACGCATGCTGTTGCGCATGCTGCTGCGCGTGCAGCTGCGCATGCAGCTGCGCATGCCGCTGCAGCAAGAAGGGCTGGGAGGAAGCAGTGTGGGTTGCTGTAGTCTTACAATCTTCTTCTGCTTTTTCTTCTGCTTCCGCCTCCGCCAAAAATTGCTGCTCTTCATCCCCTGTTACAAATGCCTGCTGCACCAACAGGCTCTGCTCCTCCTCCTTTTGCTGCTGCTTCTGCTGCTTCTGCTGCTTCTGCTTCTGCTGCTGCTGCTGCTGCGGATTCTGATCTTGCTGTTCCAGTTTACGCTTCGTGCGCTCCCCTGCTGCTGCTTCCTTTGTAGCAACAGGAGCAACTGGAGATACGCTTTGAAGCTGCAGCACAGCAGCGACACAGCAGCAGCTACAACGACTGGGATGCAGCAGCAGCAGCAGAGGCAGCAGCAGCAGCAGCAGCACGGTGACTGCAGCAGCAGCCAAGAGACAGCAGCAACAACAAAGGCATTCTGAAAACCTACAAAGTCTTGCAGGCCATCCTGAAGCGTCTTCGGTGGCCCAGAATTTTCAGCAGCAGCAGCAGCAGCAGCAGCAGATGCTGCTGATCCCTTTTTATTGTTGGCCTTTGTGCTGCTTTTTTGCTGCTCCAGCCACGGATTGCTGCTCTGCTGCTGTTTTTGCTCTTTCCTTTTTTGCTGCTGTTGCAGCTTCAGACTTGCCTCAGCCTCCGCCTGCATGTCTGCTGCCACAGCTGCATACTGCTGCTGCTGCAGTTCCTTCCGTTTCTGCTGCTGCTGCTTCTGCTCCTCCTGCTGCTGCTTCAACGTGCGTTGCAGCAGCGCAACTGCTGCCTTCGTTGACTTTGTCGGGTCTTCTTCTTCCCCGTCTGCTTCTGCTGCCTTGTCTTCCTGCTGCTTCACTCCTTGCTGCTGCTGCTGCTGCTGATCTGGTGCTGCTGCTGCTTTCTTTGCTCCCAAACTGTCATCAATAAGGGCCTCCATGCCTCCTTCTTCCAGCAGCGAGGCCACGAGGGTCTCCGCTTGCTGCAGCTGCTCCTTGTCAACTTTGGGGGGCGTGGGAGCAGCAGCAGCAGCAGCTGCTGCTGCTGCTTCGGCTTTCTTGCGCTTCCTTTCCTGCTTGGCAGCAGCCACGCAGAGTTTTGCCACCTTTGCTGCTGCGCTACTGCTTGGCTCTGCAGCAGCATTGCCTTCTGCTTCTGCGTCTTCTGCCTCGCTGGCCTCGCTGCTGCTGCTGCTGCTGCTCATGTCGGCCTCCGCCTCGCTCCCGCTGCTGCTGCTGCTGCTGCTGGGGATGCCTGCTTCTCGCCGCTGCCTCCTACGCTGGATCTTCTGCTGCAGTGCTTCTGCTTCTTGCCTGGCCTTTTCCATTCCTTTTCGCACAAAGGGAAGAGCAAAAAGGCCTTTGTTCGGCAGCTCTGCTGCTGCCTCATCCCCAGCAGCAGCAGCTGCTGCTGCTGCTCGCAACGCCTTCAGCTTCTCCCCTGCTGTTTTGGGGGCCTCCAGCTCCTCCTCAGAGCCTTCTTCGCTCTCTAGGCCTTCACTTACCTCGCTGTCTGCAGCGCAGCAGCAAGCCACCAGCCGCGGGACCCTCAGCAGCAGCAGCAGCAGCGGCAACAGCAGCAGCAGCAGCGGCAGCGCGAACCAGCATATCCGCCGTTCGTGCTGCTGACTCACCGTCGCTTTGCTGCTGTCCCTTCACAGCTTTCTCCAAGGCCCGACGTTCATCCAGCCCGCGCTGCAGCACAGCAGCAGCAGCAGCAGCAACTTCCGGGACATCAGCTGCAAGTACAGCAGCGGCAGCAGCGCTAGCCACAACAGCAGGTGCAGCGGGGGCAGCAGCCGCTGCAGCAGCAGCAGGAGCGGGTGGCGC